CAGATGAAATGCATGTGCAAAGGAAGCACAGATATGGATGCCAGAGGAAATCGGATTTTGAGCCTGTAGATAAAAGGTCGCACCAGACTTGAATGAAAAAAGTTGAACATAAACTCATCGGGGAGAGAAATGGTATGGTGCAGGGAAGGAACGTTGAGTATGTCAAATCAAATGAGCGATGATGCTGATGACGACAAGAACTGAAGGAATAAAGTGACAAGGAAAGAACTTAAAACGTAAGATGTGACGAGCAGGAAGAATGGATAGATGAAGAACTGATTAAAGAAGGAAATGGACCATGATAGAGGGTGGAGGACAGGACAAATGATAGCAGGAGGGATTCATGGTTAAAGGCAGAAGACTACAGCGGTTGACGTCATCTTCAGCACAGCAGGAATTATCTGTAGGGTCTAGAGGTCGATGAGCTGGTCCACCAACAGCAGGGAACGGGCCAGGTTGGGCAGGCTGGACTCAGAACTGCCACTGTTACTGCGAGAGTGACCTCCTAAAAGAGGCCAGATGGACAGGAAGGTTAGGGGAGGAGGAAAGGGAGGACAGTCAAATCGAGATAAAGAGAGACCGAGGAAAGGGGACAGCAGAAGAGAGAGGGAGAGAAAGACACAAAGGTAAGTAGATGCTCACGAAAAGTCAAGAGAGAATGTTACGAGATATCATGCGTAGGGTTGGGAATCAAGAAATTGGGAACTGATTTCTTTTAAACAAACAATAAACTAACTATAGATGATATTTTACTCAGTTAATGATCCCAAAAAGCACATTAAAAATGAGGTTAATTTGTTCATTTTTAGTAGTACCTCACAGTGTTTACTGCACAACTACTGAATCTACAAGTTAAGGGGAAAAATAGTAAGCTTGTCTCAGTGTTGTTGTTGTTATTAACTAAATCGATCGTTTTTGGTAATAGACAGCTGAAATAGAAGAAATAAGTATTACAAATAACAAATAAAATTAGGCACATTAGGCAGATTATTTGTTTCAGATAGTTGCCTTGGCTGGCAACTAACAAATAAGTTTATGAAAGCAACATGGAAACATTTAATAAGAATATAAGACTGAATAAGAATAAAAACTGGGGAAAAAAGCAAATTCAACATAAATACTAAAATAATATATATATATATATATATATATATATATATATATATATCAAAAGTTTTAGATCAGCAAGATTTTTTAATGTTTTTAAATGAAGTCTCTTCTGCTCACCAAGGCTGCTTTATTTTATGAAAAAAAAAAATGACAGACAGTAATATTGTGAAATATTATGACAATTTAAAATGACTGTTTTCTATTTTAATATATTTTAAAATGTAATTTGAAAGCTGAATTTTCAACATCATTACTGTTGCTGATTACACATCAGTTTTCAGTGTCACATGATCCTTCAGAAATCATTCTAATATGCTGATTTTATGCTCAAAAAACATAAATTATTATTTTCAATGTTGAAAACAGTCGTGTACCATTTTCCCCCCAAAATTCTATGATGAATAGAAAGTTCAAAAGAACAGCATTTATTTAAAATATAATCTTTTCTAATATTATAAATGTCTTTACTGTAACTTTTGATCAATTTAACTCATCCTTGATGAATAAAAGTATTTTTCTCATTTCTTTCCCCCCAAAATAAAAAATAAATTCTTACTGACCCAAAACTTTTGAATGGTAGTGATTAATGTTACAAAAGCTTTCCATTTCAGATCAATTCTGTTCTTTTGAACTTTCTATTCATCAAAGAATCCTGAAATAAAAATGTAAAAAACTGTTTTCAACATGGATAATAATCATAAATGTTTCTTGAGCATCATATTATAATAATTTCTGTAGGATCATGCGACACTGAAGACTGGAGTAATGATGCTGTAAATTCAGCTTTGATCACAGGAATAAATTACACTTCACTATATATTCACATAGAAAACTGCTGTTTTAAATTGTAATAATATTTCACAATATTACTGTTTTTTTGTATTTATCAAATAATTGTAGCCTTGGTGAGCAGACGAGACTTCTTTTAATAAACATAAAAAATCTCACCGATCTAAAACTTTTGACCGGTTGTGTGTGTGTGTGTGTGTGTGTGTGTGTGTGTGTGTGTGTGTGTGTGTATATATATATATATATATATATATATATATTGCATCCAGTGCAATCTGATTTGGGGAAGAATGACTATTTTGTGTAAACAATAAATTACAAGTAATATCTTGAACGATGACTGAAACTTTGTATTACTGGCCTTTGAAAGATGGATCGCTTGTTGTATTCCTCAACTTTGAATAAAAGCGTATGCTAAATAAATACAAGAAAATGCAAGTAATTACTTTGTCATGTCATGTGAACTTTGAACTAGAGGACTGACCCAACGCAAATCTTGCGTGAGCGGGCGGTTTGAACTTTGCTGCGGGCGGGAATGGGTGGCTAAAAAAAAACAAAAACGTGGCATCGGGAGGTAGCCTAGCGACATGATGGAGATGTTAATAAATGATGTGGAAAAGAACCTTAAACGAGGTATTTACAGCACAAAACCTAAGCAAGGCAAGTCTGACATTTATGCGTGTCTGTCTGTGTTATCTGAGACTAGCTGCTTTCAGACATGCTTTCTGCACATTTATTCCAGGACCAATAAAGCCTATGACGGAATACTTAAAGATGCTGTATGCGTTTTTTAGCGGCCTCTAGCAGTGATGTTTCAGAATGCAACAAGAGCGCTCGTGCGCGTGCTCGACCTCAAGATTTAGTTAATAACAACGATCTCAATGCAAAGGCGAAATCATCACACAACATGCTGGAAACTAATGTAAACTCCCACTGCAGTTACAATAATAGCCTACTTTTATCAGCTTGACGTTGAACTAATGCTCTGTGCTCGTCCATGATAATGTTACAATAAACTGCATTTAGCCGACATGTGTTGTTATATAGCATAAGCCATTTCACTAACTATTTGTGTATCTTTCACAATCAGCAATGACAACATAGGTGAATGTATAATATGATAACGAAAACGGTTAGTGAACTAAACTGAACAATTTCAGTGCAACAGTAAGATCATTGGAAGTTACATTACTATACTGAACGTGTCTGGAAATGTGTATAAACAATATGGTAGTAGTGGATGAGTGACATTAGTGAGTAGATCTAGTAAATAAAATAAGTTAGATGATAAAGCACCTACTTTTTGTTATCCTGGAACATTCTTTTGTATTCATGTCATCTTTCATGTAGCTTAACTTGCTATTTCACTAGAGTTTACTATGTTGTTCCGCGTTTTCGTCCGGAGTCGATCAGATTGACGTTTTGCCTGACAAGCTTGAGCAGATAAAACTTTTTTTGTTTTTATATTTATGTGGAGTTTGTGTTGGAGTCTGTGTTGTGCTGGAGGCAGGACGTTTTGGGGGGTTATCAGACTCCATGTCGTCAGCTAAAGTGCCGTTGGTCACATGGTTGACTGTAAGGATAGAGAGGCTCGGGAGCACGCATGCACGTCACATCTGATGGATTTCGCAGGAAATCCGACCCGGAGACCTCACATATAAATATGAATATTGGGCTTCAGAGGTAATAGCAAAACACGAAAAGTGGATCATTGCAATGTGTGATTACAACCCCTTCAAACACAGGCAATATAAAAGGATTCATTTTATTAAAAAAAAGTTACATATAGAACCTTTAAATAGCTAAAATCAAAGTACTTGAAGTCTAAAGAAACACACAGTAGCCTAAGCGTTTTAGATGTCCCGATAGCCTAGCAAGGGTAGTATTCATCTTCCTGATCAGTGCGTAAGAATACATGCAATACATGCATGGAAAACGAAACAAACAACCTCATGAATATCTTAAATAATAGCAATACAAATGCTTGTTTTTCCTGCGGGATGGGAGAAGATACAAAATCAATGCATCTCTATTATTGTGCAGGATTAAATTCTCAGAGTTTTGCGGGTGTGGGCAGGAGTGGACATGCATTTTGAGGGAGCGGGCGGGAGTGTAACACAAACGTTGCGGGAGTGGGTGGTAATGGTCAGAAATTCGGCGGGCAGGATGAAGAGAACAGTCCCGTCCATGCCTCTACTTTGAACTAGTTACACTATGCAAGCATGAGGCTTAAAAATCTGTGAATTGTTCTGTGATGTGATTGGTGTTTCAAATGGCAATGTCGAGTTGAAAATATTTATCTTATGATATTATAATGAATCGTACAGTGGAACTAAAAAAAAAATTCTATTCGATTCCCATCCCAAGCCATTTGAGTGCAAAATGGCTCATCTGCCTTCAACAAAACATCTCAATTCTGAATTTTCGGAACTGCCAAAAATAAAAAAACTTCTGCAAAATATAGGTCACACACATATTTGTACTAGCTGCTTGCTTTCATTACAATGAGAGTGAGAAGGGTCATTCCATGTCAAATCAAGCAAATTTCAGAAACTTCCAAGTCTTTTTGTACAAAGACAAACATAATAGTCAGTGTTGTACCTGAACGCATTCATTGAATGATAGTTCATGAATTCGTTCATATTTTGGGCGAACGTGAACTGAACGAACTGTCTTACTGCCAGATGAATGTTACTGTGAACTCGTTCATTCTGGTGTCTGTGAACGCACGCTTTTTTTGCAATAGGGTGCAATAGGGTGACAGCATCATTATTTTATTTTTACAGGGTTTGCTAGGTTTATTAGTAAAATATGTTGACTAGCAATCTTTATACCATTAAATGCCAACAGTGATTCAAAAATGGCAAAAAGCACTTCTTGTGTTCTGTTGTCTCAAGTTTTGCCTCATGCCTCTTTAATACTTCTTGAGTTACAGACATGCAAACTTGAGGCAAAAAAGATTGCTAAAGTCAGCAGATTTTACTAATAGACTTACAAAGAAATTTGAGCCGTGGACCTTTGGTTGAGTTGACACGGAATGACCCAGAAGCAAATTGCTTACTTATTCTCAGAAAGAGGATTTGGTTCCTCAAAGCTTTTACCTTGGGAGTTCTTGGAGACCAATACTGGTATGGGATCAAATTCATCTTCATTGGCTGTCTCAGCGCCCGGAAGCTCAAAGCCTGAGATCAAACAGGAGTCTGCAGCTAAGAGGTGATGAAAGTTGGGGCAAATGACAGTTTATGGGTAAAAGATTTAAGAGGGCGGGTGATAGGGAGAAAAACAGATGGGTGACAAAAATACAGCACTGTTAGCATAATGTAAACCCTGAAACTTTAACATTAATATTCATTGCTGACACTTTACAAAAGCTAAATGAATTTCAAGAAAGTCCATATGGTATTTAAATAATAATTACTTTTCATTTTTTATTCCAGTAAAATGTTCAGTGTTGTCACCAAGTTATATGCTGCTCCAAGGCACATAAGCTATAAATGACAGAAAAACAATAAATGATTGGTTGTACCTGGTATGTTCTGGGAGCTGCCTCCAGAGACATCTACAAAGTCATCCAGACAGGAGGCGGAGCCAGAGGGGAGTGAACAGCCAAGCAGGGAGTCCTCACCGATCAAAGGGTCTGTAGTGCAGTGGAGAGAAGCACCAGGGAAACACACAAAAACATTAAATCACAAAAATGCTAACTACATAAAAAATCAGGGGGTCATATCATGATATTTTATTTTTTTGAAGGTCCACTTATAATGTCGAAGGATACTGTGCGTCAATACAGTTTATCATTATAATCATTTCCTACTATTTTTCTGACCCTTCTGATGACTTTTAAGATATGCCGATTCAACCGAAGGTTTTGATTCCCCATATACACACCAAACAGGTGCATGTGGAAATTTAATACATACATGTGTTCAACATCTGTCAACAAGATGTGGCAACTTAGTTTTTGCAACCTATTTTCAATATATAAAAATTTACAGTCCAAAAAAAGGTCAGTTGTTTATTGTCAATAGTGTAGCGATGTATGAAGCATAACTCGCACAGAATTAACTTTCAAACCAAGCAGATTTCTGTTCTGCGTTGCCAAATTAAACCTGTTGCCAAATCATTCCTAAGCACAATTTCTTTTTAAATAGCTGAATTTTGCCTTCAATATGACTGCACCAATACAGTACAGTACATTGAAGTAATTTATATCTTAAGTTGAAGGAAATTCTCATTGACCCCTTTGATATGCTTAAAACACTGATTAACTGCTTAAGGTCCAACATTCTGCATCTTTAATAATGTGGAGGGGAAAAGGATTAGGGAAGCAGGGTTTTTAAAGGTCCCCTGACATGGGTTTTTTGTATTATTTCAATGTTTCCTGGGTTGCCCTTATAATGTTAGTATGTTTTTTAGATCAAAAATAGTCAAAATTTACAAATAAAAGGCATTTTTCCTAGCCTGATTTTAGCCTCTGCTTAGAACGGTCTGTTTGAAGGGGCGTGTCTGCTTTGGGATTCAATGTAACCACCCACTGCTGTGATTGGCTGACATGCTTGCATATGAAATAGCTACATATTACATGTGAAACTCTCTTGAATACGTTTTACTACAGCTATTATACGTTTTTACTATTACAGATATCGAGATTATTGATTCGTGAGAAGTTTTTGAAGTATTTAGATTCTCATCACATAAAATGTTGCCGAGATGAGCATTTAGCAGCAGATGACAGTCTGTCGATCGCGAGAATGAAGATCTTATCATTGTAATGCAGTTTCTGCTCTCTCTGCTTTCACCAATGCAGACACGATGATGTACATACAGTAAGAGCTTCGTTGTGCAGTGTAACGCAGTTTCTGTTCTCTCTAAAGCCCGGAACTCGTCCGCTCTCGTCGAGGTAAAAAGCTGCACTTGAACTCACCGAGAGAACAGCAGCCGATTGTCAGCTATAGTCTAATGTGCGTTCTGCGCCTGCATTTAATGAGCCAACTGTCTATTTCTGCAGATATATTAGTCTATATTCGTCATTCAAAAAAGAAAACCGACACTGCCGGCTGCAGATCTCGCAGATACACATAACGTAAACAAAGCAGTGCTTGCTGACTGTCAGCTATAATGTGCGTCCTGCGCCTGCATTTAATAAACCAACTGTCTATTTCTGCAGATATATTAGTCTATATTCGTCATTCAAAAAGGAAAACCGACGCTGCCGGCTGCAGATACACATAACGTAAACAAAGCAGCGCGTGCTTACCGTTCTCAATATCAATCCTGCTAAACACTTTCTTTAAATAAGATTATTTTCATCGTACTCAAAGAAACGATGTGAAATAGTCTGGCTTGACTTACTGATGCATAAACAGTATCGAACGATTTTGAGAGAAAGATTAACTAACCTCCTGCCTGTTGGACCATACAAAACTTTGGTTTGGTTTGCTTTGGAGTTGAGTCGGCGCATTTCCATAGAAAATAAAATTAACCCATTGTTTCTTCAGAGGTGCAGACGAAGGAACTAAAAAATACTTTTGTGTTCATTTGTACATCCGAACACTGAGCAACTGCCATGCTTCGCTCGTTTGCAAGCCATGATATTTCTCGAGGAAAAACTCAAATCTCCTATGTCTCTAGGAAAAAATAAAACCGCTCCTGCGCATGTTCGTACTTCCTGTTCCTAGCTCGTTTTCTCAGTCGGGCCAAATTCTCTGGGCGGGCAAAGCAGAGAAAGGGGAGTAACCTTTCCCCTAAATGACGTTATATAGTGGGTAGGGATCGACCGATATGGCTTTTTTAGTGCCGATACCGATACCGATTTTTTCCCATCAGCCTTAGCCGATGACCGATACGGGCTGCCGATTTTCTTGAGCCGATATTTGGAGCCGATACATTTTGCTCCCTCAATTTACATCATAAAAATGACATGACGTTAAGAAATGTTACAGGTCTCAATTTAATAAAAGTAACATTTAACTAACTTCAAAAATTAATATTTAACAAATAGTAAAAAAATATGAGGTAGAACAAGAACAAGTAGATAAACAATTGAACAAATATTAAAAACATAAAGTAGAACAAAAAAAGTTCAGTGCTGAAAATGAATATTTAAGCATAAATTAAATAATTACACTATTGCACACAGTAGCAACCAGCATAATAAAGTGCACAGTGCACACTGTACTTCATTTTAAAAGAAACGAACTATGTACTGCCATGGTTTCATTTTTTTCTACATAAAATAAAATGAGCATGTCTGTAATATCACGGCGATGGCGAGGGACACACCACACGCGTCCAAACCTCAACCAGGTGGGCGCTGAATAAATATCCACAAAAAGCACAGAACAACGTTGGCATTACTTAATCCTATGACCAGTGTTCATAACAGCTACCGTATGCATACTAGGGCTGTCAAAATTGCTCAAATGGCGTTTGCATATTCCCTCTAAAAAACATATTCGAACATCCCTTTGCGCGTTTTGTTGTTGACGCGCATTACATCAATAACAGGACACATTAATACAAAGAGACATAACTACTAGTATTAGATAGTTTATTTGAGTTTAAACATATTTGACAACGTATTAAAAAGCAAGTAAATCAACTAATGGCTAAGACCGCAGAGCTCACTCTGTCTCGCACAGGCACTCTCTCTCTCTCGCCCTCACGCTCTCTGCGCGTCGGTTAAATGATCAACAAACAAATGTTGAGTGCTGATCAAGAGTTTTGTGCAAGCAATTTAAGGTTGCGAGTCGCGACTCTTGTCCCAAATATTGCAGGCTTCATTCAGTGATTGAAGTTTCACAGTATATAACCGACAGTGAGCGCTCCGAGCGACCTGTGCAGCTGTAGTAACGTTATTAGTCTGCAACCGCGGGCGTGTTTTTCCACATTCAAATATTAATTTTCACCTTTAAAATTAATAAATATTCGAATGTAGAATATTCATAGACAGTCCTAATGCATACTGAACGGATAGCCTACAACTTAGCTATTTGCAGCTCCCTAATACAATGGCAAGCAGTTAAGTTTTATAGACAAGGCATTCGCGTTTTCCATTTGGACCCACAAACTTGCTTAGTTGCAAGCACATAACAGTTATAGGGCGACGGGTTTCCATTTTCAAAGTGTTTGACAATATTTCAGCAGTCAAACATAAAAGATCCTTTGAAAGTTTAAGTTACCATTCTCGTGAAGAGCAGGTTGCACTCTGCTAGTGGGGGAGGGCGGGGCACGTGAACTGCAGCATCTCCAGCAGCACGGAGCTGCCCGTGGCCGCCTGTCTATAAATAACGCCGGAAAAAAAAAAAAAAAAACTATCGGCGAACGCGCAGCGGTGTATCGGCCGATTCCGATACACGTAAAAACCTCAAATATCGGCCCGATATATCGGCCGGCCGATATATCGGTCGATCACTAATAGTGGGAGATTCTAGATCAGCACGTCTGAGATGCAGACGGATGCAGAGAAGAGAAAAATAGCCAAAGCTCGGTTTACACCAATTGAAAATTCTAGACACGAGGGGATCAAATACAGTCTAGGGGAATTCATATTAATGTTAAAAAACCTCAGAAAATGAAAACTTCATGTCAGGGGACATTTAATGTGGGAAATCAGTCATAGCCTGAGGCACTCTCTTCACACAAAGAAAACATTCTCTCACCCCTGAATATCTGACAGGGTGTTATAATGCTAGGCAGAGGCTCTTCTGCCAGTCTCTGATGCATATTTTTACCTGCCAGTGCTGATAATATTGGTTCAGCCTCCACAGGATGCAGGTGAGCCTGAGGGGGCTCCAAGCCAGGAATCAGAGAGTCCAAACACACGTCTGTTTTGACTGGTAAGAGTAAGAGAGAGAGGAAAGTCAAAGAAAACAGATGATGCCAGAATATATATTTTTTAGAACATCATCAAACACATCACAATATCTTTTATATCACATAAAAAAAAAAAAAAAAAAAAAAACAACCACAATTAATTTTTCTGTTGGACTTTGTGATGCCTTGATGCCATTGACTCACTGAACCCTGTCTATTCTCTCAACAATGGACATCATAAGAACTTCGCTACTTTGAGCCCAACATGATAAGTAGATTCTTCAAGGTATCGTGGAGAGAAGGGGTGTGCAAGTCCTGTAAACTAACTACAGGTGTACCTCAGAGTTCGGTGCATAGCCACCTCATCTTTTATTTAAAACCACATTATTGTGGTGACCCATCACTAAAAGATAAATCCCTCAGCTTTTTCTTCCAATGCAATTCCATAACACACAGCTAAAACTGTCATTTCAGCCGTTTGTGTCGATTTCACAATAACTATACAAATCCATTTTTGCCTCAAGTTAAATTGTATGTGGCAAGAGGAGAAAATCGCAAGCTATCAAAATTACAGGGACTGGATGAATATAGAAAATATCCTTTGTCTCAAAGAATAGGAAAGTGTTTAGTATAGCTTTTGTAAAAGGAGCAAGCACACAGAAAGACAGTGAGTGAGAGCTTACCACCTCTGGTGTCGTCCATGGAGCTGCCGAAGGGGTCGGCCATGGACAGCAGATCAGGCAGCATGAGGGAAGTATCTGGAGACTTCAGGCCCTCTATCAGCTTCTCTGTAAGTCAGCCAGTGGAAACAGCAAGCGTTAGCCAGAATAAACACAGAAATGTAGCCATGCATAAACTAAGAGGAAAGGGTAAGGACAATAGAGGTTTGAAAGCCAGACTGATGATTAGAAAAAGTTAACTTGCACGGACGGAAATAAACCACAGAATAATTATCCATGGGTCTAAATTATACGTTGCACAATTCAGGCAAAGACAGTCTTTTACCCACTCTTGTATAAGACTCACTCATGGTCATAATCAAACTTAGATCTAATATTGTCACATGGAAATGATGTTGAGGATGTTAAAATTCTGCAGCAAAGCGATTTCATCTCAGATCATTATCTATTCCATTTAGCCAAGGCTGAAAAACCAACTCCCTGTTATGGTAATTATAGATCCTCTTCTTAATATTATTAGTTCATCATTGTCATTAGGCTGTTATTAAACTAGTTAATGACAGAGATATCACAACTCAAACCAAAAAGACATTGTAAGACTGGAAAACTAGAACTGGTTGATATAATCAGGCTGAAGAGTGTCTTCTGAAGACAAAAGGACCTTGCTTGAACACACACACACTCTCTCTCTCTCTTGCAGAGGAAACTCACACAAGAATATATATAGTTTTAATGTGAATGTGACAATCATTAAGGAGTGTTTGATTTCATTTTGAAAGTCTCAGGGTGACTGTTAATAATGTCTCATTCCCAAACAAGTAAAAGAAAAGGAAATAAGGTTTTTAAGAATATAGAAACATCTTGCACAAAGAAGGATGTGCCTTTGACTTCACACGTCTGGCCCTTTTGTCTGAATGCAATTTACAACCAAGCAAATGGTATGCCCCCAATAAACATGGTAGGGGGATTCAGTAACTTTCCATTGTAACCTGGTGATTTACATATCAGGTGAGGTCTGATTATAAAGGGAGATGTAACAAGAGTTCGGGGCTGCCTTTCTGTATTCAGATCAGCCCATGATGTTGTGTCTTCTAGCCTCAGCTCATGTAATATGTTGGGTAAAGTTCTTTGAAACATTTAATGGTTTGCATTGATTATCTTGTGGAATTGTAAAAATACATTTACCTGACGTAATAAATTGTTATATTTGGCTATTCTAACAGACTTTGACTTTATTTTCATTAGAGTTAAAAAGAATAGTCAAGCATTAACGCATTAAATGATGGACAGATATCATTGATAAAACCTTTTCATTTTATGGAGTCAGATGAAACGAGTTAATACATAAATTAAATTAAAAGATTAAATGTGTTGCATTTAATTAAAATTCACTTTGCCATGGAAGAGACTGAACACGCTTGAAACCTTCACCATGAATCGAACCCCGCCATTGGACCGATTTCGTGCCCGACTTTACAGTGGTGACACGCCTCCGTGATCGCAACAGATGGATTTCGCGAGCAACGTCCTTTCCAACAAAATATGGGGATCTTAAAATCAAATATAGCTGCGAGCAGTGATTGCGGGCCCAAGCCGGTGGCACCTAAAGGCACCGGGATGGTGGTACCGCCGGCTTTGGCCCCTTATCGCTGCTCACAGCTATCTTTATACATTTATATATATATATATATATATATATATATATGAAGAGCTCTTTTCCAAAACGCGTTAAACGACATTTAAAAAAAAAATGAGTTTGTCGTGTCATTCTGCTGTGGACAGAACCCTTTCACTGCTCCATCAACGTTTCATGCCGAATCGCTATATTTCCTTGTTTAAAATGTACTGCAAGATACAGTTTCTTTCCAAGCCGCGATAAGCGCCAGCCCTGTTTTTAGCCTAAACACGATAAATTCTCAAATTCAATGAGCGCTCTACACAATCCAGCACGGCGGCACTCTGAACAGAGGTTTATTATGTTCATTTATTCCTCAAAATGAGTCCTAGTTTTCTAGTCGACTAGTAGTAGATCGTTTAAGCCATTTGTATTATCAGTAATCACATATATTGATTTAATTAAATGGGAGGCGTCTCAGCCCCCGCGTGGCGTTTCTGAGACGGGCTGCTCAGTGATGACGTCGAGTGTTTCTCAGAAGGAGGTAGCAGGCCCCCTCCTTCCCCCAGTGGAGGGCCGGGGGAGAATCTTTTGTTCTCAGCTTCCCGCTGCTCACCCACGGGTGGGCAGTACCCTGAGTTGGTTAAAGAAAGACTTGACATCATCACTGAGCACACAGACTGGAATGAGTGCGCTTGACGTCCCAGTGCGTCTACCCTCTCATTCCTCTCTGTCTCTGAGGGTGCAGAAGGGAGCGTGTGTCTTCCCTCGACTACGCCACTCCCCTCCCCCTCTATCGCCAGACCCCCGGCAGAACAGACCTCCGTGGAACGCTGGTCCTTCCCTGGTCTCTTCTGTCGGGGAACGGGGCACGACTGTGCATCCGCACCGGGTAACCCCTGGGCGCATGCCGGTCTCCCCGTCCAGCTGCCCCTCCGGGGGGAAGTCTGTGGTTCGCATGACCCCGCTGGTTCAGTTCCTGGCAGCTTGGCTAGAGCTCCCCGGTCTGTCCCGCTGGGTCATCAGAACGATCAGATTCGGCTACGCGATTCAGTTCGCACGGTCTCCTCCCCGTTTCAGGGGAGTTCGCTCCACTATGGTCGGCGGCAATGCCCCTGTCATGAGAGCGGAGATTGCGACCCTGCTGGCGAAGGGTGCAATCGAGACGGTCCCTCCAGCCAAGGTGAGGTCCGGGTTTTACAGCCCCTACTTCATTGTCCCCAAGAAGACCGGTGGGTTACGACCGATCCTGGACCTGCGCATTTTGAACCGTACTCTCCATCGACTATCGTTCAAAATGCTCACAGCCAAATGCATTTTCGAATGCGTCCGGCCTCAGGATTGGTTTGCAGCGATCGACCTGAAGGACGCGTATTTTCATGTCTCCATTTTGCCTCGACACAGACCGTTTCTTTGGTTTGCTTTCGAAGGCCAAGCATATCAGTACACGGTTCTCCCATTCGGGTTAGCTCTGTCCCCTCGCGTCTTCACGAAGATCGTCGAGGCAGCCATTGTTCCCCTTCGCGAACACGGGGTTTGCATTCTGAACTATCTCGACGATTGGCTGATACTGGCACACTCTCGAGAGCAGGTTTGCGAACACAGAGACCTGGTGCTCCGGCACCTAGCCTGTCTGGGCCTTCGGGTCAACCGGGAAAAGAGCAATCTTTGCCCCGTGCAGAGGATCTCTTTTCTCGGTATGGAGATAGACTCGGTCGCCATGTCCGCGCAGCTCACGAACGAGCGCGCGCACTCACCGCTGACTTGTCTTCGACAGTTCGAGGGCAAGAGTGTGGTTCCACTGAAACTTTTTCAGAGGCTCCTGGGGCATATGGCATCCGCAGCCGCGGCAACGCCGCTTGGATTGCTTCATTTGAGACCGCTTCAGCTGTGGCTTCGCGATCGAGTCCCGAGGTGGGCATGGCATCGCGGCTCGCTCTGAGTTCCAGTGACTCCAGCGTGCCGCCAGACCTTCTTCCCGTGGTCGAACCTCAGCTTTTTACGGGCCGGTGTCCCTCTTCAGCGAGTTTCCAGGCATCTCGTTGTCTCCACGGATGCATCTACCACGGGTTGGGGTGCCATGTGCAATGGTCATGCAGCCGCGGGTTCCTGGACAGGACCCCAGCGCCTCATGCACATCAATTGCCTCGAGCTGCTGGCAGTACGCCTGGCCCTGCACCGCTTTCGAGCACTGCTCAGGGGTCAACACGTACTTGTCCGTTTGGACAATTCCGCTTCGGTAGCGTATATCAACAACCAGGGTGGTCTACGCTCATGTCAGTTGTCGCAGCTCGCTCGCCCGCCACCTCCTGCTATGGAGTCAGAAGCACCTGAGGTCCCTTCGTGCAGTACACATTCCAGGAGATCGGAACCTGGCGGCCGACGAGCTGTCACGGGTCCGCCCTATCTCCGGCGAATGGCGACTCCATCCCCAGATGGTCCAGCTGATTTGGGACCAGTTCGGGGAGGCACAGATAGACCTGTTCGCCTCTCGGGACTCATCCCACTGTGCCCAGGTTTACTCCCTGTCCGAGGGCACGCTCGGCACAGATGCACTGGCGCACAGCTGGCCGTGGGGCCCAAGCAAGTATGCATTTCCCCCAGTGAGCCTTCTTGCACGGATGTTGTGCAAGATCAAGGAGGACGAGGAGCAGGTCTTGCTGGTAGCCCCATATTGGCCCACCAAGACGTGGTTCTCCGAAATCATGCTCCTTGCGACAGCACCTCCTTGGCCTATTCCTCTGAGACAAGATCTACTCACTCAGAGACGGGGCACTCTGTGGCACCCTCGTCCCTATCTCTGGAGGCTACACGTGTGGCTCCTGGACGGGACGAGGCAGGTTTGAGTTCGCTGCCACCTGCGGTGGCGGCAACCATCACTTCCACTAGAGCGTCGTCCATGAGACACCTTTACGCGTTGAAGTGGAACCTCTTCGTCAACTGGTGCTCTTCTCGCGGAGAAGACCCTCGGAGATGTTCGATCGGTGTCGTGCTTTCTTTCCTGCAAGAAGGGTTGAAACGCAGGCTGTCGCCCTCCACCCTTAAGGTTTATGTCGCGGCCATTGCCGCGTCTCATGATGCAGTAGAAGGTAAGTCTGTCGGGAAGCATGACCTGGTCATCAGGTTCCTGAGGGGAGCGAGGAGGCTAAATCCGCCTCGTCCTCCCCTCGTGCCCTCTTGGGACCTTTCAGTATTTCTAAGTGCTCTGCAGAGGCCTCCCTTTGAGCCTTTGCAATCAGTAGAGTTAAAGTTTCTGTCCATGCAGACAGCACTCCTGGTTGCATTGGCCTCCATCAAGAGGGTAGGGGACCTGCACGCATTCTCCGTTGACGAAGCGTGCCTGGAGTTCGGGCCGGCTTACTCTCACGTGATCTTGAGACCCTGGCCTGGATACGTGCCCAAGGTTCCCACCACTCCCTTCCGGGACCAGGTGGTGAACCTGCAAGCGCTGCCCCTGGAGGAGGCAGACCCAGTCTTGGCACTGCTTTGTCCG